AAAAAAAAAAAAGAAGCTATCAAAGCTAAAAAACAAAAAAAAAAAAAAAACAAGATACTTGGAGTGACTAGTTAGCTGCTGTATTTATCCTTTCTCTTCCCCTACCTGTTTGTGTTTATCCTTTTATTCAGTCTAACTTTGCCTTTTTCTCCGAAACCACTTGTTTACCCTTTCTCAAATGGTCCTTAATACTTGTAAGAGATCAAGCAAAGAATAATAATAATAATGTGTAAAAGAAAAAGATAGAAAAAGACAAGAACCAATTTTATAAAAAAAAATTAAATCCGCAACGAAAGCAGAAAACAGAGAGTAAAAAAAAAAGAAGAAATAATAATAATAATCAGTACGATTCCTTTTTTTTTCTTTTTTAAAAGAAACAAAAGTAAAGTAGAAGCAAAAATAATAGCAAATAAGAAAGTTAGTGTAAAGTACAGATGAATATATATATATATATATATATATATATATATATCACAATGTTTGATATTATATCCGTTTCTTTTTTTCTCCTTAAATCGTCCAATCATCTCTTATCATTGCTGAAAAGAAAAATGGTAAAGAGACGAACAAAAAGAAGAAAAAAAAAAAGAAAAGAAAAAAAAAAGATGGTCTGATCATAAGAAACCATGAGACGCAGGACTCGAAAAAGAAAAAGAAAGAGAAACCACAAATGCATGTACACATAAATAGAAGCAAAAAACTGTTTTTTTTTTTTTTTTTAAAAGAAAAACCCCTCCTCATAATACACACATAAAAACAAAATAAAAAAGAAAAATTGAAGAAAATAAGTCCACTCTTCAATATTGTCATTAAACTTCAGTGGGTTTTCTCTTTCTCTTTTCATCTTTTCCCTATCTCTCTTTCCTCTCTGTGAGACTGTGTGTATATACGTATAGATGTCTCTCTGTGCTTATTTTTGCCTTTTTTTTTTTTTTCTCTTTCTCTCCCTCTCTCACTATCTTTTCAACACTGACAGATACTCTTGCGTGGTTCATCCTTCTTCGCGGAGGCGGCGGCCGCAGCGGCGGGTAACGTGGCGGTTTGCAGCTGCACCCCACTATCCGGATCTGCTGGATTTAATATCCCGCACATCACCGCCTCATGTATTTTGTGTGCTGTATTCAGAAATGCCTGCTGCACATTCTCCCCACTCAACGCACTGCACTCGACAAACAACATATTCTCCTCCGCTGCGAGTTTCGCTGCCTCCTCGTATGACACCTCGCGCTCGTTCTCGAGGTCGGATTTATTCCCGACGAGGACCATCACGGTGTGCGGGTTGGTGCTGCTGCGGGCATCCTGCAGCCACGCGGCGATGTGCGTGAAACTCGCGCGCCTCGCGACGTCGTAGACGAGAAGGGCCCCGGCGGCGCCGCGGTAATATCCCCGCGTGACGGCGCGGAACCGCTCCTGCCCGGCGGTGTCCCAAATCTGCAGCTTGGCGGCCTCGCCGTTGAGGTCGACGGTGGCGGTGCCGAACTCGACGCCGATGGTGTGCGGGAGATCCCGGCGGAAGCGCTGCTCGGTGAAGCGCTGCATGAGCGAACTCTTGCCAACACCCATATCGCCAATAATAATGTATTTGAAGATGTACTTGTGGCTCATCCTATACTAAATAATAATAATAATAATAATAATAATAATAATAATAATAATAATAATAATAATAATAATAAGAAAATGTCGAGAAGGAAGTGGTGGGAGGAGGAGAAGGAGAAGGGGAGGGAGGAAAAAATGTACCAACCTCAGTAAACCCTTTTCTCCCTACCTTTTTTTTTGTTTGTTTGTTTGTTCTTTCTTTTCTTTTCTTTTCTTTTCTTTCTATTCGTTAACTTGATATTCTTCCTTTTGGTTTTTCTCTACTGTTGTTTCTACTCCGTATCTCTATCCTCTCTCACGTGGTCTATGTGCCGCGGAAGAGAGAAGGAGAGAGGAGAGAAGGAGAAAGATATGTGGAAACACAAAGAGACTAAAAAGAAAAAAAAGGAAAAAAAGAAAAGAGACAAGAATATTGAATCAACTAAAGTGTTATTAAGGATCAAACAGGGAAAGCGATGGAAATAGTACAAGGCTTCCCATCTCTCTTCTCCTTTTTTTTTTTTTTTTTTTGCTGATTCCTTTCACTTGCGCTATATACACACAAACACACATACTCACGAAAAAAAAGAAAATAATAATTTAAAAAAGAAAGAAAGAGAAGAAATAGGGTGGAAACAGAAATAGAAACAGCGAAACAGAAGAAGTAGAAGAAGCAAAGAAGAAGTAATAGTGCATCCCATACTACTCCTCTTTCCCTATTCTTTTTTTTTATTTTCTTCTGTTTTCTTTTTCCTCCCTTTACCCACCACTCATTCCATCACGAATTTCCTTCTTTTTCTCTTCTTTTGTTTCCTTCCAGTCCGTTGTGTATGATAGTTCAAAAATGTTAAAGAAAAAGTCTGAAACATGTCAAATAATGATGGTACATATATCAAAAAAGAAAAACAAAAGAAACATATAGATATATATATATATGTGTATATAAATATATAAATATATATATATATATATATATATATATATATATATATATATATATATAAGAAAAAGAGAAATAACAACACGGAATGCCCTCAAATAGAAAACAGTACAGAGTCTAATATCAATATCCGGGCCGCACCTCCCATTGAACCGCCTCCTGTTCATTCACCAACAACAACGCACTACCGGTGAAACCCCGCGGCACCCGCACATCCCCTTCATACAATGTACATACACTATTCACAGGCCGCAGTGATGTGCACTCTGCAGCCATACACGACTCGGCACCGGAGGCGATGAGTCGAACTTCTACGCGAAGTGGTTTGGTGCGGTCTGCGCGATCGCAGAGTCGTTTATACTCCTGCTCCAAGTTATCCCGTCGCTTTGCATGAAGTGTGTACTCACGACACAACATCACCAAATCTCTTTGTGCATCCGTGAGAACCTGTCGTAATTCCTCTACATCATCTTCCATCCTTTTAAGTCGTTTACGTAATTCATCCTCTTGTTTCTTGAGTCTTATCATCTCTTTATTACGTTTTCGTGTCATATTCTTTTGAAGTTGTGCGAGTTCCTGTTGAATGGGACCTGAATTTGCATTAAGTGTCTCTTCTGCCGTCTTTAACTCCTCCGTGGTGGATTCAATCATCTTCTTAATGTGATGTTCACTTCCACAGCGTTCTTCCCATGTTGCATATCTATCTTCCTTCTCCAGAAGAAAACGAACATTGTCAATAGTGGTTTTTAGATATTCATAGTTTGGAATCTGTATTACAATGTGTTGTAAATTACCAATCGCAATCCACGTCCCAGCTAGTGGTTCAATAATAGTTGCACAACGTTCTTGAAAATCAGAAGTTACAAGTGGCCAACCGTATATTTCTTCTTTTACATCAATTGGAGGAATACAACTCTGAGGTGACAACTGTGCAGATGTGCGAATAACTGAAGTATCAGCCAGACGTTGTTGTTGTTGTTGTTGTTGTTGTTTTTGTTTTTGTGAACTGGATGAAATATGATTCATAGTAGAGGCACCTCCTCCTCCTCCTCCTCCTCCAAGCTGCGGTGTGGGCGTTACTCGAATAAATCCAATGTTTGTGAAGGATCCCAATCCACCCGCACTTTTATCTCTTTCAAAGAGATGGACGAATAAAGGCTGACCTGACCAACGTCGCCATGCTGCACGTATATCAAGAAGAATCTCAACTTCCTCCAAATCATCCTGTCTTCGCTGTACAAGCAATAACTCACGATCAAGCATTGGTACAGATGGAACTGGTTCGGCTGCAGCACTTACAGTAGCAGTAATTTCAACTATATTTGAATCTGCTTTAACAATTAAGCGTGCCATTTTTTGCTGTCTATCCACAAAAATAGGATGTGAAACTGGTTCCATTACCTGTACATCTAGTTTGGAGTGCACATGTACAACAGCTGAGCTGGTTAGTCCCTTCCTGAGAAGCACATTATGGCTATTAAGAATACGATGAATCTGTGGAAGAGAAAAATCACGTCGTTCGTGAATAAGACTCAATTCTTCAAAGTTAGTAGCAATCAACACCGTTACACTTACCACGCCGTCTGGTGATCGTACCCATCCACACCCCAAGAGACGACCTGCATCCCACAAAAGAGGACTATCCAATTGGTTGGTTGCATTAGAATGAGAGTGAAGGAATTTACATACATCCGGTACTGAATTTGGTGCAACCAGTACAAACTGTGGTACTTGTAAACCAAGAAGCATTTGAACTAACGTCTTACGTGGATTAAAGGCACCACAAAATTGTAAACCACGCAATGCCCCTGAAAAATATCCGTAACGACTACATACTTTCATAGTTGTCTTTTTAAGAAGGGTTTCCTCTTTTTTAAACTCATTCACAGTAGTTGTATAGTTCCCCATACCTGGTGTAGATTCATCAAATACATCAATAAGTGGCGGAGATGAAGAAGTATCCGCATTTTTCGCTGATACATTGAGAACAGTTAAATTCCCAATCATGTCGTTATTATTGCTGTTATTCTCACTTTTGCTGATACTATTTGTTTTTCGGCTTTCATTCCTCATGAAATTACTACCCCTATCCTCCTCAGGAGGTAAAGAACAAGCAGGTGTCGAAAGAACTTGTGATAACACCTGTCGGGATATACAGCCATCACTATCAGACCTATTAGCAGCTGATCGGTCTGTAAGCAGTACCTCTTCACCCTCACCACTTGTACGATTTCCTTGCAAGGCAGGCAATGATGAGGGAAGCTTTTCTTGCTGTTTCTCTTGTTCTTTTTCTCCTTCTCCTCTTCCTCCTCCTTGTTCTTGTCCTTGCTGTTGTTGTTGTTTTGTTGACATTGCCGTGGAGAAGGGTGGTGTTGTTCCTGTTTCTGCTGGTGTTACGGCTATAGCTTCCTCTGGTGTGGATGGTGTTGTTGTTTCTGTTTCGCTGTGTACATGACGAGATGCATTCCCCACATCACGAGCCGCAAGAGTGAGACTTCTACTATACTCCAGCGGAGGAACAGCATCCGCTTTCCGCAGTTTTTTAACGCAATTGATAATAAGATTCGCCCCCTCAATAGCCCACTTACACGCCCGTTCCAACTGTACCCCTTTACTCTCCAACTCCCGCAGTTTCTGTGTGTACTGTGCTTGCAACTCCTGCGCCTCCCGTTCCCGTTCCCGCATGAAATCCTCCTCTTTCGCCGCCGCCGCTGATGATGTTCCTCCTCCACCGGTCGGGGAGGTGTGTGCGATGGAGATGGAGGAGGTGCTCGACACATTTGCGGTTGTGGAGTTCGCCGTGGCTCCCCCGCGTGGGCGCCGCACACTCCCCCGCTTCACCCGCCGCGCCCGCTCCGTGTCCTCGTGCGCCCACCGCAGTTGTTGGGCCGCGACGGCCTCCTCCCACTCGTGCCGCACCCGCGCGGCCGCCGTCGCCACCGTCTCGCGCTCGCGCCGGAAGTCCGCAATGTACACGCGGAGCTGCGGGAGTGTCATGGCGCTGCAGCGGGCCGGCGTGGGGTCGTCCCGCACGAACGGATACGCGACGGTGGCGGCGGTGGCGACCACATCGGCGTAGGCGGCGGGATTGCACCGCAGCGCATTCACTTCGTCGAGGAGTTGACGCTCGTAGCGGGTGTAGGCGTCGGCGGGGGACATCACCGCCTGCCGCAGGGTCGCCGTGTCGGTGAAGACCCGCTGCGAGCCATGGGGATAAGAGGCAATATCCACAGACATATATATATATATATATATATATATATATATATATATCAATAGAGAGAAGGGGGTATACGTGTGTATGTGTGAGAGAGATAAAGATGGAGAGATAACAAGTGTGTCTCTGGGTCTCCTGTTTCTTCTTCTCTCCTCTTTTTCTTCTTCTTGTTGTTGCTGTTTTTCTCTATTTTGTTGTGATTGTTATTCTTTCTTTTTTATATTTCTTGTTGGTGCGACTATGGTGTTTCTACCTTTCGCTTGCACCTACCACACAAAGAACTCTCTCTCTCTCTTTTTTTTTTGTTTTATTTGTTGGTTTTAAGAGCAATAAGAAAGGGAAGAAATAATAGAAGAAGAGAACATAAAACAAGACTCAGACAAATATATATATATGTAAACATGCATGTAGACACTAGGGAGGGGGGATGGGGATTATTAGAGAAATACGAGAGTAATTCTATGTACGAACGTATGTTAGTCCAGACATCTGCCTTTTTTTTTTTTTTGCAATGTATATCTCCCTTCTTCACTTTTTCGCATCTACCACAGATTATATATACATATATATAAACTAGTATGATATGCGTAGTTGTAAGATACGGAGGTGTATATAAAGAAAGAAACAAACACTCACACTCAGAGAGAGACAGAGAGAATAATATAAAGATATAGAGATAGAAGACCAATGGCTTCTCATTCAACTCTGTACAGTCATCATTCATAAAGAAAAAAAAAAAAAACGTCTCACGCAAGAGAGTTCAATTTTTAAAAATAAAAAAAGAAAGATATAAACAATGGAGAGAAGGACAAAAGAAGAAAAAAAAATGGGAAAAAAAAGAAAAGAAAAAAAAAAACAGAGTCTTTACAAATACAGTATGCATTTTTTTTTTCTCTCTGTGTTTGCTTCTTTTCTTCCCCAAGACTCTCTTATTTCAACAGCAAGAAAGAAACAAAAAAAAAGGAGGAAATGCACACGTTCTTCTACGCTTTAATGCTTAGATAAATGTTCATATAAATAGATAAGGTATCTCTGTGGAATGTGTACAGTAGTGAAGGTAATACACAGCACCCCAAGAGAAGAAAAAAAAAGAAGAAGAAACCGTGCGCATCTCAACATCGAGATAAAAAAAAAAAAAGAGCAAAAGAAAAAAGAAAAAAAGAAAACTGACGTGTTTACACTGTCGCACCTTCACGTACGAATTAGAAGTACTGACAACAATAACAAAAAGAAGAAGAAAAAGAAGAATCACATGAGGCAACTTTATTCCAATAAAAAAAGAAAAACAATAAAAAAAAACATGCTGCTTCTGTTCAGTTCTGTTCTTCTTCTTTTCTTGTCGTTGTTGTTGTTGTTGTTGTTCTCATTGCAGGCCATGCGTTTAAATGCAATACAGTGTAGAGAAGGAAAGAAAACACTAAAACAGAAAAAAAAAAGAAAAAAACACAAGAAAAAAACAAAAGTAAATCACAATAGCAATGATAACAACACTGACACTTGTGAGTAATGGAAATAAATAAATAAACAAATCAAAAAAAAAGGACCCGCAGGCGAGAAATCGTATAAAGAGAAAAGGGAGAAAAAAAAAGACTATAGTACGTAAATACAGGAAAAAAAAACTCTTTTTACCCCACTTCTCTAATTCAAAGACAAAAAGAAAAAAAACAAGCAAAACAAAGATAAAAAAAAAAAAAAAAA